CATTTGATTGTTGAGAATACTAAGCAGCTGTCTGACAGTTACTCATTTTCCAAATGAGTTACTCTAAACCACTTCACTTTCACACTCAGAGACTCAGACAGTATTAATCATAAACTGCAATTTCCCTGCTAAAGCAAAGCATCTCCTTGAAATTGAAATGAGTAATGCAGCAGTAGAACAATGCTATTACCAAGCTTGGAAAAAAGTGTGACATCCAATTAAGTTTCCCCGTGTTTCGCTCGGCACACGTTGCCTTATTGAATCAAGATATCCGAGCAGGCACGAGAAGAATGTTTTGTCTCACACCTGAAACGCTGCGTCGCTACTTTGAGAGGCAGCTGAGCTGGAAGTCGGCGTCTCCTGTATTTAGAGCTGATTCATCTGGATGTCAAACGGGATCGCGCCTAGGTCAAATCATGTTTGACAGTCTTTGAAGTAATATTGGGTGTTTGCTTAAACCTTTACTCTCAGTGTCAAGTCATTGTAGTTTGTAGTTTTGGAGGGAGCTAAGTTGTCTCCAGTATGTCAGTAGAGATAACTGGAGAACAGACTTTGTGTTTGACATTTCAAGTAACAAGTGATCTTCAAATTTTGGCTTCACGCTTATTGATGTGCGCGCTTCATCGTCAGCTTTTCTGTTTGTTCTGAAGCCGCTCTCTAATGCCAGTCCCTCCGTGACAAATGTTTAACAATCCTGCAGCATTTTCCCAGTGAAATATAGGATAAACACCCCCGTATTCACACGTATATCCAGCCATACATTAACGCTGCTTTTCTTTCTTTCCTCAGCAGCAGCGGCATGGGAGCTCGAGACAAGCCTCTCTACCTCACTTGAAGTTGAAAGACCTCCAAATGTCAGACTCCAGGGAGCTTTCTAACATAACAACAACATCATCGATGTATCTGCTTCTACACCATTTTTTTCTCTTTCTCTTTCTCTCTCTCTTTTTTTCCTGATGGATTTCAAAAATCCCAAAGACTGCTACAGTAACTTCACCTATTTGCCAAGCACTTAGATCGGCCAGAAGCCCGAGGCACTTCTCTTGCTTTTTTTTTTTTCCTTATCAGTGAACTTTCCATTTTTTGAGGGGGCAGTGAGTTTTAAGCTCATGCCAACATACTGGAAATGAAGACCAAAAAAAAAAAAGAAAAGAAAAAGAAAGAAAAAAAAACATCTTCTCATATTGTCTAGATTTTTTTTTAAGATGATTCCACTCCTCTTTGCTCCATTACGCTGTTTGCCATGGACTGCCCTTGTTTTGGGGAGTTAAAATGCTCAAAGCATACTCCAAGTGTAGGGTCTTGGGTAGAAAAGCTAATGCAGGAAAATAGAATATAGTCACCCCATCGGGGTGGATGTTCTTCGGGACAGACTGAAACACCCGAAGTGAGTGAAAGCAAAGCGACATTTAAAATGAAGGTATAGTCACAAACGCATTTGTAAATCATCCTTGCCCTCAGTAGAGGACTTCATCCTTTCCTTTATTTATCACAGCGTGATTGTAAATATCACCAAAATGGATTCCTCTTATGTGTGTATTTAGCTGCAGTCCCTTGCCTTTTTCTTTTTCTTTTTTTTTTTCCCAATTGTTTTTTTTTTCTGTGCAGGCGGATTCAGTGAGGGAATACACACACTAAAACTCGTGTTGAAACTGTGTTCACCAGTCTCAAATCTCTCCAAAATAAAGAGGGAAATGCAAAGACTGCAAAACGCTCAATTTCCTCCACAGCTGGCAGAGCTCCGGTAGAGAGTGTCGCACTCTCTTCACATGGCCTCAGGACGCTGCAGAACTGTAGAGGTCAAAGATTGAAACCTCTCCTTTTAGCTCCTCCTACTTACTAGGTCAGTAAAGACCACACCCTCCTCCCCTACACCTGTGACCCCGCCCAGCCACCCCTTAGTCCCAGCACCACTTGTACAGGTGAATAACAAAAAAAAAAAAAAACTTGCTAAATGTGAAATGTTACTAAAGGTTAAAAAAGAAAAAAAAAAAAACATAACAGTGGGTTTTAAAGTTTTTGACTAGTTTTATTAGGTGTTTTAGAATTGTGTTGAACTCATCTTTATCTTTTTTTTCTGTAAAGAAAAATAATTCTTTAAGATTTTCTTTTTTTTTTTCACTGTAGCAGGATTTTGTTTCAGAGGATTGCTCGTCAGGACAGATATTTTAATTTTGTGTATAAACCTGCCAAACATACTTCTTTTAAAGTTTTAAAGCCAGTGATGAGAGAACCCATTATGTTTTTGTTAAATATCATATGGTCATTCTATTTAATTTGGTTGCAGGTTCCACATCTATTTATAAATGAAATGAAGTAAAATTTTGGCTTATTTTCATCAGGGTGCATTATTATTATTATCATTATTATTATTATTATTATTACTATTAATGATCAAACTACATGATTATTAGAATAATATTTTTTCAAAAACTGCTGTTGGTGCTAATGTACCAGCATTAGATTCTTTTTTCTTTTCTTTTTTGTGTCACAATTACTTCTTTTTGTTTTCTTTTGTCTGTAATAAAATGTTTAAAGTGAAAAACAAAACAAAAAAAAGGTGTGCGTCTCTGCTTATTTTTGACTGCATGGCTGTCATTAAGTCTTAACAGATTCATTAGTGTTTTTGATGAGCGCTGCCTGATCGCTGCAGCAACCTGTAAACGCAACTTTGCATTCCCCCTGCATGTGTCTGGGGTTAATTAGGAGAATTACCTTTGATGTAGCAGGAGTTGATGTAGCTGCTGTCACATGGCTCATTAGGTGAAAAGTTAAGGCTTGACAGTGTAACTTCATTTAACGTGCTTTTAACCTTTTCGCTGTTTCTATTTTTTCTTCCCCACCCCATAAAATCCAGACTAGATCAATATAAAACACCAAGCAACATTTTTTTCCTGCCCCCTGGCCATGTTTTTTTTTTTTTTTTGCTAAAAGGTGCCATGATGAAACTCAGAGTTGATGCAGCAGTACACGGCCTTTCAGAGAACTACCTGAGAAGAAGAACAAAATCTGCCTTTTAGTTATGAATTTCACAGTTGGATTAAAGGTAAAATAGAAATGGAATCTATCAGCCTTTCGCATCAGCGCTTTCTCTACCCTTTCCACTCCCCCTCTCTCTTTTGCCCTCTTGCTCTCTCTTTCCATCGTGGTGATGGCGCAGTGCCCCCTAGAGCCGATTCACAAAACTATAACCTCCCAGTTTGTTAGTTCCCCTAAAGCGAGTGTCTATCATAACGCCCGGGGGCCAGGATGAGCCTGTCAGAGACTCCAATCTGATGCATTACACGGCTTTCGAAAATGTAAAGAAGAAAAATATAAAAATGTTTACAAGCTTATAGTTTCATAAGTTTTATGGCTTTTTCTACTGATAAAGCGCTCCCCCGTGACAACTCAGAGTAAACAAGTAATAGATATACAATGAAATAACAGAGTGCCTGTTTTTTCGCCAGATGCTATAGAAATGTTTGGTTTTTACGGTAGGTTTACTGTAAAAATCATGTTTAAAAAACGTCATTCTGTCAATTATTACAAATGTTCTGTTTTATAACTCTATGACAGTTTGTGCAATAAGCTAACAGAACATTTATTTCTTGCAGTTTAGGTCCAGAGCAACAGTTATTTCACATGCAAACAAACTGAGATGTACTGCTCAAACTGAGTTTCGTGTTCTTATATTAAAATGTCTCTGGGATTAAATGTGTAGTTAAGCTTCTTTACGCTAACAGAAAGCAGAGTTTCACTGGTCTGTCCCACTTATGATCAAAATGGGTTGTACCAAAATGTAAAATGAGTTTGACATCCTTGCCCTAAACCCTCAAAATAGAAAGATAGTTTAATTATAGTAAATCAGATTTCGAAAAGTGGGACGCTGATATGTTTTAACAGTGATAAAGGATATCAAAGGCTTCACTATCATTCCCTCTTCAGTTGTGCCCTTGAGTAACCCTCGCCCATGGCTCATCTTCATCTGCAGCATGTTCGTCTTAGGAAAAATACTCTGCTAAAATACAGGTAAACTCGCATTTGTTAGACTTAATTTAATAATTTGTGAACGGAAACGTAGAGATTAGTAATATTAATAATAAGGTTTGCACAGTTTTAAAGGCAGATGTTCTAAGTTTAATATGTTTTGTTGTTTTATTGCGTGGGTGATTACCGTCGCTCGGCAGTTTCCTTTCAGGGATTCGCCATCATCTTTCTATTGATGGGCCTCTATCGCCACCTGCTGGTGAAATCTAGTGTTGGCTACACAGCCCTAATGTTGATGCCAAAAGCAGATGAAAGTTTTTTTGTTTTTAGAAGCTGTAAAACGATGATCATATGTTATAACAAAAACATATGCAATAGTCGGCTTTCTGTAATCTAAACTAATTGTATAATTTTATATACATATTTTTAAAAAAACTGATTTTACCCACACTGTCTTCAAGACAAAGAATACACTAACACCTCAACTTCACCACATCTTCTGAAAATGCTTTGAACCCTTTCCCCTCCTCCATCTTCACTTAATATATCAAAATACTCTGTATTTGTAGACGTGATTTGCGCATTCACCGGCTCCTTGCCTGTCCAATCCCCCATCACTAATATTGTGTCCAGCAGCTCTGATAAGAGCTCCATCAGCAGCCATCGGGCGGTCTCATTTCCTCTTCAGACGGATATGAAGTCCCCTGACAGCACAGCGGGTCGGCAGCGTCATTGTCTGAGAGCCAACAAACAAGACAGGACAAACAAGAAGCAATGTGCATGTGACACAGAGCACTACCAAACATTTGATGGCTGAGATGATAACGCTATTTTGAGAAACATCCTCATTTGGACGTTAGGATGTCACGTTCAGAGAATCTTTGTTTTATCTGAAGCCGGTGCCTGAAGAGGGGCTTCGGCCGGCCTTTTGTCGACCGGCTGCTGCATTTCTACAGGAGCAAGCAATCAGATTTTAATCCTCTGACTCCTTTTGTTGGCCGTCTGCTTTACAAAAGCGCAAACAATCAAACTTTGAACAAAATAGTTTTATTTTTTACACGTACAGTACCTACTATGGTCACTCACAGACAACAGTTACAATGGTACTCTCAATTATAGAATCAAAAATATGAGCTTCCTTTATTCTCAATCACATTTGCGTTACTGATTTTCACATATAGTAATACTTTACACACACAAACGCACACACACACCGATGCAGCACGTTGTGCATAAAATAAAATATATGAGACCGCTTATCATCGTAACTGGAATCAGTGTGTTTTTAGACACACGTGTGTGTTCAGGGCTTTAATTTAAGTAGATTCATTAAGTAAGGGGCGTGTCTTCGAGGACTGCGTTGTTCATTGGTGTGCTTTCAGTGAGCTCGCCTTTAAAGATGATCGCAGTGCCAACTTTGCAAGCATTTGCATTCAGCTATTCTCTTTTTAAATCTGTATGCAATCTGCTTTAATAAAGAATCCGTATTAAATACTTTAAGTGGGAGAAATATTGTTGCATGCTAATTGCAAATGTACTTACATGTTTGTATTTAAACTTCACATTATACAAATAAGATCAAAGAGGGTTCCTTTAAAAAAAAAAAGAAAAAGAAGAGCTGTTTGTGTCTCACCACGGAAAGTCTGATGTTACCAGTGAGAATGTCAAAGGTCATTTTTCTTACAGACTTTCTTTTGTTCTTGTCTGAAAGCTTCTGCTGCATTAATGTTAAAGGAATAGCAACCAGTATGAATTAGTATGTTTTTTCAGCACTTTCCCTTCACTGGAAATGGGGCCTGTGAAACCTGGACTGCCAGCACAGTGAGCAGGCTGACAATACGTACATCTGTGGTAGATTTGTAAGGAGACTGTCTCTCCATTGTGCGCAAAAGTAAGAAACCTTTTTCCCACTCCACATGATTCCAATCCCCCTTAACATTCCTCAGAAGCTCCTCCCTTCCCAGGCCTTCACTGGACCAGGAAATACGCTGGGAAAACCTCAAACCTCTCTCCAGGTACACTTCCTACAAAAATTACAAGCAAAGCCAGCATCTCTAAAGTTGCAACATTCATTTTGGTCATACAGTGACAAAAAAAAAATAGAATATCAGCACTGGCACAGCTGGCACAGACATCAAATACGTTCAGTACAAACACTAAGGCTAACTACGAACACTACTACGATATCTGAGCATATCTACGCCGTCTCACAACAATGGCGCACAAACGGAGATGCTGGTATCGTTTTCATCAAGTATCGTCACACGCGGCGCCGATGAGGTTTAATATCAGAGTGAAATGATACAAGAAACAGACCTGGTTCACAGTGCAGCTCAAGCAGACATCACAGACACTCTTTCATCTCCCTTTAGCTTGTGCTTTACGACAGCGCTACAAATTCATCTTACCAATAAATAAAAAACAATATCAAGTAAAATGTGAGAATGAATTACTATTTAACACAAACATTAGTACCATATGAGAAAATGGAGTAAGTGCTTTGTTAGACAACCTCTTCCTCTTCCAAATTTGACCTTAGTTATAAACTCTAAGTGACGTGATTATAGCAACTATAGCAAAATCCTTTATTTTAACACAATATAAACTATAAATATAAACCCTAAACTATAATATACTATGTCTAGTTTGGTTGTTAATGGTATTAGACATATATTATCCCGCCTAAGCTATTCATTTGTACACTTCAGGAGAAAAATATACCTGTATGTCATAGGCCACTGCAGCTCCTGATTGTGTACTTGCAGTACACAAGTAATTATATGCCTGCAGCAGTCATACACTTACAGATGGCGTTCCATTAACTAACATGGAACATCAGAGCATGTTTGATCATTTAAGGAGATATGCTGAAATATTAAAATCAATTCATAATAAGGAGTGTAAAATGCCCGGTGATCTTCTTTGCAGAAAAGTTGCAGTATTCATAAAACAAATCCTCCATTTGTCAGGCCACTCTTGCGAATATTGAATATGTTCACAGTTACCTGCCTGGTCAGATAAAGTTAAAACAAAAAAAGTCCGATCACATGTGGATAAATGTAAACATTACAGGAATGTCCAGACAAAAATATTGACCCAGTCTTTCATCTTGCTCGGTTTGTCCAGCATTATTCAGCCGCCCCATGTTGCTCCTTCTCTTCAGGAACAGACATGAAGATCTTCTGACAGAACATGGTGAAGATTTCTGAGGAGAAACAACTCGTCACGTTAGCCACGTCTGTTTTCTCTTTGCTAGGCTACTACAGGTCAAATGTTGGATTTTTTTTTTTTTTTTTAAACACTGCGTCGGCCTTTTGCCTGAGTCCTCCGGACCAACTATGTAAACAAAGGAAATGTACCGGTGCCCACAGCAGAACTTGAGCAGATAATCTCACAGGAATTTCACAACAAACCACCTTTGCCTCACTCTAAAAAAAACAAAAAAAATCTCCAACTCACCCAGCATCTTCTTGACCACATGGGGTTTTTTCCACTTGTAGCCCAGTAGGTACGCTGGGACGCCTGTGAGAATAATGCCGCTGCCTAGCACACACTCGAAGGGAGCTGCCCAAAAGGACACGACGATCATGAAGACGCAGCTCAACACAAAAGTAACCGGGATGAAGAGAGAAATCTGCAGAGAGAAAATATAAAATACATAACAGATGAAGATGTGTTTCGATTCATATTAGACGTGAGCAGATAAGATACAGTTTATAATTGTTGAGTGAAGGTGTCTCATATCATATTTGGACTTTGGAATAATGCAACTATAGCTAATGATAAGACTAATGTATAGTGATTTTGATGACAATACTAAAAGTTCAGATTTTAGATCCTGTAACTTCTTCACTGATATCTGTTTTCTGACACTTTGTTTCCATTAAACAACAAGAGGAGACAAATAATTACTAAAGTTTTTTTTATATTAAGACATTTTCAATACCGATTACTTTATAGATCAGACAATAATGCAAAAAAATCAATGAAATCAATACAAATTCAAACTATAAGACTGTGTATGCAAAGTTGAATGATGCCTGACTTCATCTAAAGATCTCATTTTGAAACAATGATATGTGCTATAGTTGATACTAAATACATTTGTACTCTTACTTAAGTATTTTTCTCATATTGGCTTACCCTTTTTCCTTAAGCATCTCCAACAATTTGATCACGATGAAGAAATAATTATTGGCTAAACTGTTATGTTAAGAGCTCCATACTGTTATTAGATTCAGTTATCAGTTAAACTTCTTGAGCTGACGGTTTGTTTTTCTTTTTTCTGGGTTGAAACTGACATTTTTTATGAATGGTTTACATATAAATAGCTCTCTCTCTCTCTCTCTCTCTTTTAATATGTTTATAGATGATTTTATAAAATAACTGAGCTGAAAGCAGTGTGGGCCAAAGAGAAGATGAAAGACTCTGGTCAGCCAAGGTAATTTTCCCATGGTGAAATAGAAACAAAGGATCATGTATTCCTCCAAATACCCCTCCCTCCTGTCTTGGAAAAACAGTATGTTTCCAGTTCCACCTAATAACAATCGTAGCGATACAATGGTGCTTTCACTAAAAAAAAAATAGCAGATGCTTTATGAAACTAGAAGACATGTTGATGTTTTGCCAGACAAGGAAGGTAGGGCCAGGGTCACCTTTCAGCAAGACTCATATCCATCAAAATGGATCTTCTCTGCAACACGCACTGAGCAGCTACTTTAACCCCTAAGACGTTCACCTTAATGGGCCTTCTGAGGTCGGGTTTGGTAAAGCGCAGCCAGATCATGCCAGCGATGGCCATCCCAACACACATCCAGGTGAAGAAGCTGAAGAGATTGATGACAGAGAAGATGTCCTGGGAGATGGCATACATCATCGATAGGAAACACTAATACAATGAAAAAAAGAGTAAAGATTGCATTAGTTTGCTGGAAACATTAGATTACAGATAGTAGATGGATAATAGATTATAAACACACACAAGGCTTCTGAATCCTCCTTAGTGATTTTCTTGAATAGAGCAGGTAGGTGTCACAGTACTGGGTCTGTGACCCAGGGTTTTGTGTTTGTTGGTTAATTTTTATTCTTTGGTTATTGTTATTCATTGTTCTGCTTGTGTTATATTCTTAGTTCCAAGGATTTAGGTTTCTGTTACTTTGCCTTCCCCGTGTTCCTCGTCTAGTCACTCGTCTCCATGTTCTCTCTGTCTCCCCAGTCAGTTATGTCTCTATGTTTCAGTGTCAAGCAATGTTCCCTCTAATTTTTCATGTGTCTGAGCGAACACACAAACCCTTGGACCACTGTGAGCAACATTAGACGTGTGCACTGTGGTCACGCCAGCATCAAATCCATCCAAGTTACATGGTTTATTAAAATAATCAAATTACAGTATTTACATTTATGTTAGACTACTTTTAATTAACTGCTTTAGCCCACTTACAATGAAGATTTAAAAAAAATCTTGTGTAGTATGTTAACACTATTGGAAGTAAAAATAACTTAAAGTCCAATTTTGAAAACACAACTTTCTATTATTTTTTTTTCATAAAGCTCTGACTTGTATTATGAGTCTGTGGTCTGGGAGAGAGTCCTGTAACTCTCTGTCTGCAAAATACAGTATATAATGATCAATGTTGGGCAATTAATTATATAGTTACTTCTTCAAAAAAGTAACTGAGTTATGCAAACAACAACGTTTTTTGCAGCTGTTTACCTAAAAATGCAACCAAGGTGTTTTTTTAAAATAAAGATTTCAAAATATTTACAGAACAATCAGCTGTTCTGCATCAAATTTGATGCCTTACAAATTATTTGTGCCACTCCAAAAATAATTTCTGTCCACTATGAGATGAAGGAGAACAACAGCCTGATACCTGCAGGCCTGACAACAGGAGATGTATCACTCCTGTAACACCTGTAACATTCAGCAGTCGCCTCATTGTTCTGACACACACAACAAAACTATTGACTACACTACACACTAACGACACAAGATTTGCGCTAAACGTTGCAAATCTCTCACATCTCAAAACACTCCTAAAACTACCCCCCTTCCTAAACAACTGTTGCTATATCATTTTTTGATTGGTTGACATGGTACATTTTTCGACTAATACGAAAGGCTGGGAAGGGGGGGGTTTGGTTTCGGCTTTTCTCACAGGGAGAGCGCTTTCGAGCGTTTTCCTTATAAAACGCCGTTTTTACCGTTTCTTCGGGCAGTAAATATAAACAACGATAGTATTCAGGAAGAAAACCAAACATTTTATATTTTTATCATAACTCTGGTTTTACGTGGCCTATCAACACAATTTAAAAACTGGTATAAAGTCCACACTTTTCCGTCAATTGTTCCGTCTGTCCTGCTCACATCTCCAATGGTTGTTCACGTTGTTATTAACGTGGCTTCACTCCACATCAGCCGTTTTGCTATCTAAAACACCGGTGTCGGCACATAAGGAGGCTGTCATAGCCTGTCAACGACGTTGATTAGCTGCGTATATATGAATGTGAATCGCATTATTGGCTGGACTATGGGATAAGGTGGCATCGTTCTAATCCCATACGGGAGCAGCCAGTCACTCACTGACTAACACTGCAAAACTGAATTGTTAAAGTTTTAATTTTAATTTCAATTCAGGTTAGATTTTTTTTTTTTGTGCGCAACGCAGATTTTCTGTGCGCAGAGACCGTGCCAGCAGTGCGCAATTGCGCACGCGCGCAGTTTAGAGGGAACATTGGTGTCAAGTCTACGTCTTTGTGAATGTCTCTGGTTTCCTGTTTTATTTTGATAGTCTTATGTCCTGTGTTCAGTGTTTAAAGCTTTGCTTCCCCTTTATCTCTTCACGTTTGATTAGTCCCAGCTGTGCTCTCCATTCCCATGTTACTCCATGGTGTATTTTAGCCCTGTGTTTTCCTTTGCCCTTTGTTGCGGCGTAGACCCTCACTGCTGTGTGTTTCTCTCATGGCTCTGTCTAAATCTCTAGTTCTTAGTTCCTGGTCTGTTTTCTTTTGGTCTAATTTAAGTTCTAGTTTCCCAGTGTTTTTCAGTTCTTAGTTCTCATGTTCAGGGTTTTGGTTTGTTTTTTGAAAGTTTATTTAATGGAGGTTTTTCCAATAATAAAGCTGCCATTTTCAGTTAACTTCCCATGGGTAGTCTAAGGAGCTTGGAAAGAAAAGCGTCTGGACTTCTTTGAGTTTTCACACGCTTTCACACCTTGGCTCATGTGATTAGGTAGAGGATCATCAGGGGGTCCTTTGTCCCTCTTTGGGGGGGAAACTCCCACTGGGTTTACATCGGAGACTCTCCACCATTGACCCTTAGAACTGAAGAAGCTTCTTGGATGAGAGGTGAAATGTCTTCAAGCAACTCAAAGAAGTCCAGATGCTTTTCTTTCCAAGCTCCTTAGACTACGATGACCTGGATGACTGAGAACCTTCACAAACATGTTCCCATGGGTAGTTTGTGTGCTTTTTTGTTACTGTTCACCACCACAGCGAATTTTAAACCAAACAATCAACATGTGATTGATGCAGACCTTAATTTGAGAGAACTGCATTAAGTCTTTAAGAACTGGAGCCATTTTTAGACATAGTTCCAATTTCAAAGGCTCAAAATGAACTGAACAAGTTAATATCACTTTTAATGTAAGGGTTGATTTTAGTCAGTGTGTTAGCCACCCGAAGTTTAGAACACATGGACATCACCAGACGTTGTGCTTTCTCCACTGAGATTGTCTACCAGTGCTTCATTGCTGCATTCAGGTTTTTATTTAATAATGAAAAAACACGCTTTGTTGGGTTGACATTAGGTGACTGACTTGGCATTTGAAGTATATCCCATTTCTTTGCCTTGAGAAACTCTTGACTTGGTTTTACAGTTTTTGGGTCATTATCCACTTGCACCATAAAGCGCTGTCTGATCAGTTTTGCAGCTTTGGCTGAATCTAAACAGAAAGTGTAGCCCTGGACACTTAACAATTCACCCAGCTGTTTCTATCAGCACTCACATCATTAATAAACTCCAGTGACTTAGTTCTCCTAGCAGCAATACATGCCAATACCATAACAGTGCCTCCACCTCCATGTTTGACAGATGATGTGGTATTCTTCACATCATGAGCTGTTTCTCTTTTTCTCCATACTTTTCTCTTCCCTTCACTCTGGTAAAAGCTTATCTTGGTTTCATTTGTCCCCCCCCCCCCCAAATTTTTTTCTCAGAACTGTGCAGTCTCTTTTAGATGTTTTCTGGTAATAATCTAATCGGAACTCCCTGTTCTTGAGTGTAACCAGTGGTTTGCACCTTTCTCTAAACCCTCTGTATTTACTTTCTTGAAGCCGTCTTGATTGTAGACCCTAACAATCATGCATCTACCTCTTTGAGACCATTCTTGACTTGGTCAGATGTGGTGAAGTTGTTTTGATATTTAAAATGACAATAAAGAGCTAAATAAGAGCTCTAAAATAAAAATGCACCCCTTGGAATCAACCACAGATACTAGATCTGCTTAATTTGTCATGAAGTAACATTCAAACTGCTTGTCAGCCAATTACTTTTGAGCCTCTGAAAATGAAGCACTGTGTATAAAAACTGTTGTAAAGTCTAATTCGCTGAATCAAAGCTGCAAGTCTGCACTTCAATCACATCTTGACTGTTTGATTTAAAATCTACTGTGGTGGTGCACAGAGGCAAGATCATAAAAAATGCACAAAAATCCAACAAATTATGGACTTAACTGTAACTCTTCACTGAAATAATTTTCTCTAACAAAAATAACTCTACAAATGCTTCACAAATGTTTTGTATCGTCAAAACGGATTTATATACACTTGCGTATAATACCTAAAATGGGGACACTTGGCAGATTTTAGCAATGATCATACATGATTTAACATACTAACCTAATCTTATTAGCCAGCTGGTAAAATGTCACTGAAAGTATCAGGTTTCTTACTGTGAATATGAGGGATGGCACTGGTGTGAACAGGTCTGTGTGGACCAACCCCAGAGCAGCAGGGAGTTGACCCTCTCGAGCTCCAGCATAGAACAAACTAGAAGAGAAATTTCTTAAATCGTTATTTATTCGAAAAATACGAAGACTTTAAACTATTAATACTAAATGTATAAAATGCTGTCTTATGTTTCATTGTACACATGCAAACACACACCGCGCTGAAGTAAAGAGTGATCCATTGACTGCACCAAAGCAGGACAGTCCCACAAAGACGGGAATGAGCCAGGACATCACACCAAGATGGTACTCCCCAAAACTCTGCAGAACAGAAAGAAAAAGCAGACGAGGAGAATTTGTGACCACAAACAACCAATATGCGTGTCCCAGTTCAGGATGAAACACATCATATTAAAGAAAAGCAGTACACTCACCACAGCAACAGCCTCTGACTCAATCATGACTTGAGGAGGGATGGTGGTGAAGTAGGCCAGGTTGGTTAGAACATATACCACCGTGACTATAGGCATGGATATGATGATGGACAGGGGCAGGTTCCTATGGG